GTCTTTTGGGTATATTCCTGCAAGCCATATCCTGTTGTATATGTTGAGGAGAGTAAGCTTGAGATGGAGAGGGAGATGACGGATCATCTCATAATTTACCATATCCGGACCAGGAGCTGATCGATTTGTCTTTTTTAAGGCTTCTTCTAGCTCAAACAGTTGGAATGGCTCATTATACGCTAAAGATACGTCTGTTGAAAAGTCTAATGGTAATTCCCTTGCATTTTTGGTGGACCTGAACTCGCGACTATAGTTTTCCGAGCTGCTGACGGTAGCAAATTTATCTGCTAGTAAATTACAGACCTCATTTGTGCTGTTAATGATGTTGCTGTTACAGGTCCGCAGATGTTTGATTTGCCTAACTGATTGTCGACCATACACGGCTCTGACTTTATTCCATACTTCACTTGCTGTCGTTTCAGTAGTAATAGTGGAGACATATTCTCTCCATGATTTTCTCTGTCTTTCTAGAATAAGACGCCGCGCTTTAGCTCTAGCTTTCTTAAAAGATATCATGTTTGATACCGTGCAGTTCCTCTTAAAATATTGAGTGCACGCTTTTTTGATCTCACGGCATCGGATATGTCAGAGTTCCACCATGGTAACCGACGGCCTCTTGGAGATCCACCACCAAGCGGAATGCTGTTCACCGCAGCCTGATGTATCAGCTGAGTAAAACTATGAATACCAATGTTATTATCTTGTACAGGACTCACAATTGATAAGTAGTCTTCGAATTGCTGCCAGTTTGCCTTTGACATCAACCAGTATTGAGGTACTTGGGGACTACTTCTAGATATGTCAAAGGACGTGATACAAGGAAAATGATCACTATGATACATGTCATCTAGAGCTCTCCATTGGAGGCGATCGGCTATGGATGTTGAACTGATCGCTAGATCAATCGCAGAGAAAGATCCGGAACGAGCAGCCAGATGGGTGGACATTCCTGTATTTAGCAACATCAGATCTTCTCTGTCTAGTAAGTTTTCTCAATTCTCCTCGGTGATCTAAACGTCCTGATCCCCACAGGGGATTATGCGCATTGAAATCTCCAATGAGCAAGAATGGTGCTGGGAGCTGAGATATAACGTTTTCGATGTCACCAATTCGCCAATTTCCATCAGGTAGGTATATATTACAGACAGTTACCTTTACAGGAACTGTTATTCGAGCTGCAACAACTTGTAGTGCTGAGTTTACACATAAAGGCTCAAACCAGACATCCTCACGTAAAATTATCGCAACTCCTCCATGTGCTCGCTCGACAGCTGCAACATCTTTTCTCAAGATGTTATATTTTCTAAGAGAGTAAGTTTGATTTGGTCTGAGATGGCTCTCTTGAATACATAAGCACATTGGATCATGATTTTGTAAAAGCAGCCTAAGCTCACAGTACCGTTGGACAATTCCATTGCAGTTCCACTGTATGACTGATTCCATTGCAATTTTAAGAGTTTAAATGTATGTAAATAAAATACTTTCACAACAAATAAATAAAATAAATAGTATGTAGGGATGGACGGTACATAATAAATAAAATAAATAGTTTTTTTTTTTTAAAATAGAGTTGATATAAGTGATATAGCATCACTCACGGGGCAGTCCTTTTAGGCCTGCCCCGTTTTTTTGTTGGATTTGAGTTGGGGTCCATAGCAGATGAATCATCATCTGTAGTGGAGTCCCCTGGTTTTTTTCTTTTTTCGGACGCTGCCGATAAATTTGTAGAGACAGAATCAGATCTATCTCTACGGAAGATTAGCCCTGATGATGGGGCTTTAAAATGGTCGCACTTAGATGTAGAACATGAGATTGCGTTTCTAACTGCAGTTTCGATATGAGGAATTATTCTCGATATGATCTGCTGAATGTTCATTTCTGATGACTTTTGGACGGCAGCAGAATAGGACGTAGTAGGTTTTGGAGTGGTTATATTTACTTTTCTTTTTGCTTCTGCATATGTTATGTTTTCCGTTACCTTTACTTTCTGTATTGCTGCTTCAGCTTTTAGTTTTGGGCAATTCATATAAGCTGCTGAATGTGGACCTTCGCAATTTACGCATTTTTTGGGCTCCGGGCAAGGACCTTCATGTGGAGGATTACCACATGGACATATTTTTTCCTTCTGACAGTTTCCAGCTGTGTGACCTAAAGCTTGACAGTTGAAACACCTGGTAGGTGGTGGAATATAAGGCCTTACATTTAATTTATGGAACGCAACGCTGATTTCCTTTGGTAAGACAGTTTTCCTAAATGTCAGCACGTGATTTGGAGTTTCAACCAGTTCTCCATTTCTTTTACTCTTTAGCCTTCTTACATGTATGACACCATCACCTTTCAGTTCATCCAATATCTCCTCAATCGAGCAGTTGAGCAAGTCTCTGCAAAAAATCACGCCTTTTCGGGTATTGAGGGACTGGTGTGCCTCAATACTCACATCAAATTCTCCAAACTTTTTTACCTGGAATAGTCGCATAGTCTGCTGTGTAGATTTAGTTTCAACAAGGAGACCTTCTCGAACCTTTCTCACTAACTTTACTTCACCAACAATTCCATATAATGTCTTTGATATAACAAAAGGGCTCACTTTATCAAAATTATCGCTTTCTCTTTTAACAAGCAGAAACCGGGGGCAATCGCCCACCGTCCTCACGCCTGCTGAAGGACTGGAAAGTGCTCCCCCAGCACTACCCGTTTTTTGGAGGGCGGGCGCCTCCTGGATGTTTTGGTTTTGAGTAGGCTTCATCTTATTCCCACGAGTAGGCTCTGATATGGAGGTCGACTATGAAAGAGCAGGCTTATCATAGCAAGGCTAGTTTCAACCGGAGGTCGCCCGGTATCCGGAGGCAGCCGTTTGGAACACACTAACGCAGTGCCATTCATCCCCTCAGCACGGCAAACACCTTGGGATTGCGGATTTTTTTTTTTGAGGTTTACTCCGCTAGATCCGCCGTGTTCTGTTAAGAGCAGGGACAGCTCTAGCAGCATGTGGTTCTTCACCACGCACGGACGGTCTTGCAGGTGCAGAAGCTGATGGACTATAAGTCTGTATTACGCTATACACCTGCCTGGGCAGCTTTTGCCTCGCGGAGGCTACTCACAGGCCCTTGTCCCCAAATTTTGTATAAGTACTTAATGAAGCATAATAAGTAATCAGGTGGTCAATGTCCTCCTGTGGTATCTCATTCCAGGCAACCACCAACTCCTCTCGAAGTGCTTCTAGAGTCTGAGGAGGACGTTGCAAATTGAGCAATCTCCTACCCAGCATATCCCACACGTGCTCAATTGGGGATAAGTCGTGAGATCTTGGTGGCCATGGTAACAATGTGACATCTTTATGTTAAAAGAAGTCTATTGTGGCTCTTGCAACATGTGGTCGGGCATTATCTTGTTGGAAAGTTGGATCTGCCAGGGTGTCAAGCTAGGGTAAAAGATGGCGTTCTAGAACTTCGTGAATATAACGCTGCGCGTTCATTGTACCTCTGATGAAGATTAAAGGTGACCTGGAACCATAAGCTATAGCACCTCAAACCAAAACTCCAACAGTGTGATCAACATGTCTTTCAACAAAAAACTGTGGATTCCTTTCACCACGTCGCCTTCTAACCCTGGCACGACCATCGTGCATGCCTAAACAAAATCGAGACTCATCACTAAAGACAATACTGTTCCATTCCTGATCCCAGAATGACCGTTGTCTGCACCACTCAAGGCGATTACGTCGGTGTTCTCGAGTTAAAGGGAGGACCCAGTGTGGCCGGTATGAAAACAAGCCAAAACTTCTCATTCGTCGGTAAACACTTCGCATGCCAATAGGTCTTCCGTGTTCTGCAAACCATTCATTTGCAATGGACCTGGTAGTGGAGAAACGGTCCCTTAAGGCCAATAATCTTAGGCCGCGATCTTCACGGTCTGTTATTCTACGGCAGCGTCCAGTGCCCCTTGCTCTTTGCGTACGGCCTTCTCGAAGCTATGCCTGACAACACCTAACCGCAGTGTCTACACTTCTTTGCACTCTAACTGCAATTGCCCGAAAAGAAAGTCCAGCTTCCCGAAGTCCCACTATACGGCCCCTATCAAACTCACAAGTTGACGAAATCGTACAGGTCTCCGTACTCTAGGCATCGTAACCGATCCGAAAGGATGTCAAGAACCAAAATCCACCAACGTTGATTCTTTACTGCGGCTGAAATATTCATTTTTAGAGCGTTAGTGAATTAAAAAAAGCAGTATAAAAACCGGTATGTCCAACTGATAGGGCTGAAAATTTTTTCACTTGTTATTTACAGTAAGATAAATACATTCACCAACTTTTATTAAAATAAAACCATTTAAACTGGGTGTTCGGATTTATATGTCACTTAGTATATATGCCAAAAATTTTCAAAATAGGGATAAGTGTTCTTCCTGTTCAATTGACCCGGGAAATAAAATGGACTACCAAGAACTACATTCTTTATTAATCTTTAGTCTACTTCCAACCCAGTATTGCATACTCAACCTCTCGCAGCGCCAGCTTTATTAACTAAAACGCGAAAGGCTTATCTCTATGAAATGGAGAAATCCCATCTTTGTGAGATGATAAAATCCTGAATTTATATATCTGAGAGACGTCTTTGTGCCACTTGAGACTTGGGCGAATTTCAATAATAATTCAGCAAGTTTTTGCATCCATCAAAATTAAGAAGTTTGCATTAAGAGCACGAGAAGTTAAATCCATTAACGGAGGTTTCCGGTTAACGGAAGAGATGTACATATAAAACTCGGAAATGAATGAGGAGACTAGCGGGATGTAAGTTTTTAAACTGGTCGCGATTAAATGTGTTGCTCAAGATGTGCAGAGACCTGGCGCAAATTTGGCTGAAAATTAGGTCGGTACTTCCTGTAACGATTGAGGTAAGACCGTTTTTGACTAACTTAACCCCTCTGAATCCGAAACTGTCAACTAGGCCGAAATTTCGCTCGGAAGCGCGCAATAATAATAATTGAATTGAAATTAAAATTCTTTATTCATGTCACAATACATAAAATATGTTTACATACTGCTGCTACATTATCCTGTTTTGTTCAATTTTGGGTATTTGAAAGGAAGTAATTGTATCATTAATAAAAACAGCTATGAATTTAAGAAAATTGATGAAAAAAAGTTGACAGATTATTTGCAAGTGGTGACTTGGAACAGTGTTTTTTCAGAGAGTGATGTCCAAAAAGCAACTGATAACTTCTATAATGAATTATATAAAGGCATAGATCATTCAACGTATTATTTAAAAATAAATAGTAAGACTAGAAAACGCAAGCCGTGGATGAAGAAGAGGGATGAGTTGAAACAGAGTTTGACGAAAGATAAAGATAATTTGATATTGAGACAGTCCTATATCTCCTACAGAAAGAGAGTAACTAATCTTATTAAGATCTCTAAAAATCAATATTATACACAAAAACTCATTTTAGCTGGTAATAACTATAGGAAGAGCTGTTATGTTATTAATGAGGTAACTAATGCTGGCAAAATAAAAAAAAATGACGTAAAATCAATTAATCACAATAATCAGCAGCTGGATGCTCCCACTGATTTAGCCTGTGTTTTTAATAAATATTTTGTTGATATAGGTGAGCAAATAACAAGTCAGATTGATCAACCCTCAATTCTTGATACATCAGATCCTCAAGTCGTCAACATTGCTCACTCTATGTTTCTAACTCCAGTGGATAACATAGAGTTACAACAAATAGTTTGTAATCTGAAAAATAATAGCGCACCCGGAAAAGATGGCTTACACACTAAAACTATCAAGATGATCATGAAGTATATCAGTCACCCTATAACTCACATTATCAACTTCTGTTTCAAATCCTCAGTAATTCCTCGCCAATTTAAAGAAAGCATAGTGACACCAATATTTAAATCTGGAAGTAAAGACAATATATTCAATTATAGACCTATTTCAGTTATCAATGTATTTGGGAAGATTTTTGAGAAGTGTTTGAATAACAGACTTTGTTCTCTTCTTGAGAAATATGACATAATATCGAACTATCAATTTGGGTTCCACAAAAATTGCAATACAGAGCAATCTCTACAAGAACTTACAGGACAAGTGCTTGAAAATTTTCAAGATGGAAATAAGACTGTTGCAGTTTTCCTAGATCTTCAAAAGGCTTTCGATTCAGTATCTCATACAATTTTATTAAAGAAACTAGAAAGTGTTGGAGTGCGTAGCGGAGTTCTGAACTTATTTGAGAATTATTTGGCTGATCGATTACAACAAGTTAAGGTAGGGTCAGATTTAAGCAACATTCAAAAGATCAAAATAGGTGTGCCTCAGGGGACGGTTTTGGGACCAACACTGTTCCTCATATTCATAAATGAACTACTTCGATGTAATTTCAACTGTAAAATGATATCATATGCAGCCGATACTGTTTTAGTTTGCACTGGTCATTCATGGGATGACGCAATACGGAATGCCGAGTTGTCATTAAATAAAGTCAAATGCTGGTTGGATAACAATTTACTTAAACTTAATATCTCTAAAACTAAGTATGTAACGTTTTCTCCAACCAAAGCAGGCATGCCATTACACCACCGCACATTAATTATAAATGATAGTGCTGACACTGTCGAAAGAGTTGAAGTTATTAGATACTTAGGAATCACTATTGACAGTAATTTAAAATGGCAGAGTCATGCCGAGCTTTTGGCATCGAAATTAAGGAGAATTATTCATAAGTTTTTCATTCTTAGGAATATTTTAAGCAGAAAGAGTCTTCTCTCAATATGTAACTCGTTTGTGGGGTCTCTACTAACTTACGGGATAAGTATTTGGGGAGCCGCATACACTAGTACTTTAAAAATACTACAAACCACGCAAAATTATATTGTCAGGACTATTTTTCGTATCCCATGTAGGTCAAGTTGCAGATTTGTTTACATTGAAAATGATCTTTTGAATGTTAGAGGTTTATATATTTTTGCTGCTCTAAAATTTGTTCACTCCCGAAACAATGTTCCAACCAGCCACGCTTATGAAACAAGAACTAAAATAAATATAAGTTACACCTATACCAGAGTGAATAAATCTGTTTGCCAAAAATGAATAAAGTTTGATGGTATTAGGTTGTATAATAAATTACCCCTAGAATATAAAACCCTCTCGAAGTATAGTTTCAAAAAAAGAATTAAGAAGTTCATCTTAAATAACTTTGACATGCTTGCATCGACGGTAGCTTGACTCAACTCAGTAATTTCGTTTCTATCTAATGTTTTTTTATTTCTTTTTTTATATACATTTTGCTCATAATATACCTTATGACCATTAGCCATGCATTGAATTTGTATATTGTATGACACACGCAAGCTTATAGCTTAGGTGTCTATTCTTTTGTAGTAAATTCTTTTGTAGTAAATTGTAGTACTCTTGTTTCTCTGCTTAACCTTTACGCAAAATTTTTATTGTTTAAACAACATAGTTTGACCTTACTCGAAATATCCCTATATTATCATATTTCAGATATTCATATTTTATGTACTCTATATTTATACTTCTGAGTGTTTTTAGTATGCTTCTGTACTATTGTTATTGAATTTTAGATTTGTTTATGCAGACACGTAATTTAGGATTTGTGACGACAAGATTCAGACATTTACCCTTTACGAAAGTATACAGAATTTTCACAATTCATATACCGTTACTTGCTCGTTCTAGATCTAGTATCTTTGCTCAGATTTCTGTTGCAATCTTGGTTATTCAGGGTAGCAAGAGTATACAAGGTCATGTATTTTTGAAGCTTTTTTTTATTTAAATTGTACTAGGTTGTTTTTTTAATTTGTAAGTTATATTGGTTTTTGAATTTGAATTTGAATTTGAATAAAAAAAATAAATAAAAAAAATAAATACGTCAGTAGATCAAATGAGAATTGCATTAGAATTAAAACAAAGGAAGTGCTAATGATCATAAAAAATTACAAACAAGTACACCAGCACTCATAAAGATATAACGCTAACATAACATATTAAGATTTATAGCTAAAATGTATGTCTTATAAACTCTTCAAACGTGTAAAATGAGTTATTAATAAGAATGAATTTTGATTTAAACTTTCAAATCTTTAAACGGAAGCGATTTTAAGCCCTCTGGAAGTACATCAAAAAATTTGACCGCCCAATAACCAGGTCCATCTTGACACCTTCTCAGTCGCCAATAAGGAGGTACTAGATTGTTCTTATGCGTAGTATTGTGCTCATGGACGTCCCCATGAGTTACATAGTTAGAGTTTCTTTTAACGAATAGTAGATTTTCAAAAATATATAAACAAGGCTCAGTAAGGATTCCCAACTTGACAAAGGTATCTCTGCAATCGTCCCTGTAGCCCAAACGGCTCACAACCCTAACTGCTCTTCTTTGCAAGGCGAATAGTCTATGGACCCCTGAAGAATGCCCCCAAGCCGGAATGGCGTAGGATATATGTGAATGGCAAACGGCAAAGTAAGCCATTTTAAATATGGCTACAGAAACACAAGAAGACAGACTCCGTAACACATATATACCTTTGGTGGCCTTTCCAGCAACACTGTCAATGTGAAGGACCCATTGCAATCTTCGATCCAAAGTAACCCCCAGAAACTTGGCTTCACCAACCAAATCACTGTCTCCAGGCAGGCCTCGCATGGAGAATACCATTATCTTTGTCTTATCTTTATTTAGCAACAGCTTATTGGAGCAAAACCACAGCTCAGCCTCATCCTGCGCAGCCAGAGACTGTGCCATTGAGCGCTCAAAACTGTTAGCGGTGTGAGAGACCGTCGTACCATCCGCGAAGAGAGTAAAGTTTGCCATATTGTTATTGAGAGGTATGTAAATTAAATAAAGAATTGGGCCCAAGATGGAGCTGTGGGACGCCAATATTAACACTTCGCTCCGCTGATGTCACTCCATCACATCTCACCACCTGAGTTCTATTACTAAGGTAAGACTCAATTAGTTTAACGGAATCATAACTAAAGTTGTAGTAGGCATGGAGCTTTTTTAAAAGGATGTCATGGCTCACACAATGCCCTACTAAGATCACAGAAAAGAACCGTGTTATACCCTCCTCCATGGAAAGCATCAATTATAGAAGAAATCAGGTTAAGTACACCCATAACAGTGCTCTTACCCTGGCGAAAATCAAACTGATATTGTGAAAACAATTCATTTGCCTCAAAAAAGGTTACGAGTCTCAAAGCCATACATTTTTCAAAGATCTTAGAAATAACTGGAAGAAGGGATATAGGTCTGTAGTTCTCTGGTGAATCAACATTGCCGTTCTTAAAAATAGGTGTGACACTAGCTCTCTTTAGAACAGTTGGAATAATATTTTCTCTAAGACAAATATTAATCAGTCGTGTTAAAGGGATCAAAATTATGTTCTTTATACATTTTACAATTTTTAAATTGAAACCAAAAATATCTTTACTGTTTTTATTTTTGAGATTATCTATTACATCGCGAACCTCGTCAAATGTGACTTCAGAAAAAGAAAACAGAGGTGGCGGTACCAGGAAGTCAATATTATTTACAGGATCTAAATGTACATCAGGGATGTGATTTACTATATTACCTGCTATGTTACAAAAAAAAATATTAAAGTCATCAGGTGACAGGTCACTGCTCCCAGGGCACTTATTACTCTTACCTCTTTTTTTGTTAATGATATCCCACACAGTTTTAGCAGGATTACTTGAGCTCTTTACAAGCTTGTCATTAGCATTTATCTTAGCTTTTCTTATTTTATTTCTATATAGATTTTTGTAGTTTTTATAATACTGGTCACTCACAAAACTATACTGCCCTTTTAGCTCTCTCAAAAACCTCAAATGTTCCCTCATTGCCCTTAGTTCGGTATTAAACCAGGAAATATTATTGCCCTGGTCGGATCTTACCACATAAGTTTGCTTTGGAAAAGAGTATGTATAGGCTTCTTGAAGAATATCCATGAAGTGGCTAAACTTTTGTTCACCACTGGTACTATCAACAGTAATGAAATCCCAAGATATCTCCGACAACCTACTGTGTTTGAGTAAAACCTGTGGTTTCACAACCAAGAAGTTTAACCAGCTGACCTTTATGATCTGATATTCCAATATCATATACCTGAGAGCCACACAGCTCCATCGCACTACTAAGGAAAAAATAATTGAAGTATTTTTTATTTGTAATAATATGGTATTCAGGGCCACATTCAAATAACTTTATTCTCTTCACACAGAGCTGGATACGGTTCTTCGACTCGTCTAAGCAGTGCTGGAACTCCGATATTGGAATAGCCTTCAGCTGGTCGGTTACTCGTACAGCCGTTTGAATATTTTCGGCTGCTCCAAAATGATTTTTCAACTGCGGGAAGAGCAAAAGGTCATAAGGAATAAAGTCAGACGTAATGCGGAGACGGAGAAGCGACACGAATGTTTTTGCTGGCCAAAAACTCGTTTATCATTGTTGTCTGACAAGCACACCGCTGCTCGAAGTCACTCATTTTTAACAGAGACAAAGAAAGAACAAAAAAACTGTTTCACAAAAAAAATTCGCTACGGATAACCAAATGACTCGAGCGAGTTCGAACTTGTACTGAAATCTGGCGCCTCCAGTGTTGCCAGATCTAACGCTACGTTGCCAGTCTCATTACTCAATTTACAGACCTCGTATACCGAAGCCCCGAAACCCGAGTACTGAAATCAACTCGAGAAATAGGCTTTAATTGGAGTAAGATTTGTGTATAGAATTATGCGGGAAGTACAGAAATAACCTGTTTTTATTGAAAACTGGTCCCACTTTGACTGGACGACCGCACTACAGCCATGAAATATCAAATCGTCGCACGTAAATCAAACCAGCTCGGTTCGTATTACCCATTCGGGTAATAATTAAAATTTACGAGAAATTAATCAGCGTTGATGAGGTCCGCCAGGCTTCATTAGGGTTGGCATTAGCCGCGAGAGGGCGCTCCAACTACCGTGCCAAGGCACCGTTAACGCGCTGATGCCAGCTAGGAATACTAGTGTCGGATCTTCCGATAGTGTTTTCGATTAATAAAATTCATTGGTTTCCTCGAATCCGTTTGTAACCGCTGTCGCCGCTGGTCTTTTTTTAAACTCGCTGGAAGAGATCGGCTTGTCGCTCAAAATTCCTGCATGTAGAGTGCTGTCATCGGCAAAGCTGTGGGTTGGGTTGATTGTACAGGAAAGGAGGTCGTAAAAGGTACAGTGTTGGAGCCAAGACCGATTCCTGGGGAACACCCGCGTTGACGTTCTCTGGGAGGCCATAGGATGGAAGTTTGCTCAAGAGGGCAGCGTGTCACAGCTGATCCAACGCTTTCGTGATATCAAGAGCAACGACATGAGTCTGAGTTTACTCCACAACTCAGTGACTTACGCTAGGAGGTCCCCTGTGGATCGCTGGTGCCGGAAACCGTACTGCCTGTCGCTAATCAAGCTGTGACGTTCGAGGTAGTCCAGAAGCTCGCGATTTATGCATCTCTGAATAAAATTAATAGAAATCAGTCTCAAAGTACACCTTAGATCCTTTAAATTTCTTTGAAATCGTTGGATCAACTCAGACTCCCTTAGGTGTCCTTGAATCCGCTTGTAACTCCACCTGAGGAGATTGTAAAATCTGTAGTAGAATTACCAAATATGGGCCATAACACTGATCAACAGCCAAAAAATATCCTAAATAAAATCAACAAAATATTACTATTTTTAATGTGCTAAAACCGGAATTAAACTTATTTTTTCAATATTAGTTCAAGTTTTAGAGATACGTTTATTATATGTGGTCCTGCTGTGACAGTGTTAATATACTGTAATTCACAAGAATGCACGTGCTACATTTTTATATTCGGCAAGGAAAGATGATGTAATCGGCATGATTGTGTTATGTTATACATACGTGTACATTATATTGTTTTATATTAGCCATTTTTTCCTCAGTTGGCTGACAGCGTTCATGCAAGATGTCTCGAAAGTGTGTAAACAATCCAGATCAGTTTTGTTACGTGTGTGGTGATGTGACTCTTGCGTCTCAGAGACGGTCTATTACTCCACTAGTAACAAAGGCATATCAGCTTTATTTCGGTTGTAAACTAGGTGATCTAGACAAACAGTGGGAACCCCACATCTGCTGTAATACATGTGCTTCAAGTCTGAGGAGCTGGTTAAATGGCAAAAAACGGTCTATTCGCTTTGCTGTCCCAATGGTTTGGAGAGAGCCTACAAATCATATTAATGATTGTTACTTTTGCATGGTACCTTATGTTGGACAAGCCACAGGTATGTCCAAGAAAAAAAAAATCGGTTATTAACTACCCAAACATACCATGTGCGATGAGACCTGTGCCTCACAGTGACGAAAATCCTACTCCAAAACCCCCAGAATCCTACACTTATGAATCAGAAAACGAATCAGATCATGGCGATCGAGTGATTCGTCAGGAAGAAGATATGCCATCAACGTCAAGAGATCCTGATTTTATACCGAGCACATCATGCCACCAACCGCACAAAATAACACAGTCAGAATTAAATGATCTTGTAAGAGATTTAGAACTTCCAAAATGTAAGGCAGAGTTACTTGGATCAAGACTGCAGCAGTGGAACTTGTTAGAAGACGTTGTTTCGGTATGTGTTTTTCGTAAACGCCACAAAGACTTAGAACCATTTTTCAATATGGAGAATAACTTGGTTTTCTGCAGTAACATTAACGGCTTACTGGCGGCTTTAAATATAAACTATAACCCAGAAGAATGGAGATTGTTTATAGACAGTTCAACATTGAGTTTAAAGGCAGTGTTATTAAATATTGGAAACATTTTACCATCTCTTCCTGTAGGGTATGCAGTTCACATGAAAGAATCATATGACAATATGAAGTACCTATTGACATGCATAAAATACGATGAGCACCAATGGCGTATTTGTGGTGATTTGAAAGTTGTTGCACTTTTACTTGGGCTGCAGCTAGGCTACACAAAGTTTTGCTGTTTTTTGTGTGAATGGGACAGTCGGGCAAAGGCACTTCATTACACCAGACAAAACTGGCCTTTTCGCCAATTCCTAGAGCCAGGTCAAAAAAATGTACAGCATATGCCATTAGTAGATTCGAAAAAAATTTTATTACCACCACTGCATATCAAAAGATGGGCTGTAATATGTCTCTTAAGATACATTTCCTAAACTCACACCTGGACTTTTTTCCTGACAATTGCGGAGCCGTAAGTGATGAGCACGGCGAACGTTTTCATCAGGATATTTGAACAATGGAAAAAAGGTACCAGGGAAAGTGGAATCCTTCCATGCTTGCAGACTACTATTGGACTCTTGGTAGAGATGCTCCAGAAACGATCCATAAAAGAACAGCAAAAAGACAGCGCATATAGTGTCTTATAAGTATATGAATCTTGTTACTTTTTTTAATATATCCTTAAAAATAAAAAGTTTTTTTCTAGCCCGCAACTAATTTTTTTTTTCATTGTCATTTTTATATTCAGCGCCCCAAAATTAACACAGAAGTGCACTTTTCCCACAAGATACAATTAAAAAACTAAAATTTGTTGTCCAGTGTAACGAGAACAGAAACTTTCTCAGATTTTCCTATAATGTCACAATACGATACATCTCGGTACGTGTGGGTTTGGCATGGTAGTTCCCAAATGGATAAACCGATACCGATTTTGCTATTTGAGTTACAGACTTTTCTATTTTTGGTTTAAAAATGTATTTTCTCGGAAGTAATACTGCAAGAAGGTATGATGCATTCCTCGTTTTAGGCTTCATTACCGATCACAATAGCGCCTAAGAAAACCTTCATCATAAATTATTTGATAGATAAGAAATAACTCGACTGTATTGCCTTTGAAACATCCAAAAAAAGAAACCGATAATTTGTCTACCATTTCGGGAGCTACATTGCTCTAAAAGGGATACACACATACACATGTCCAGGAAATAGAGAATAATCCCACAGTTGCAATCAGATGACGTCTTGGCAGTACAGCAAATTTTTGTTTTAGTAACGTCTCATACTTTCCGAGATTTTCAGCAACACTTTTGTTTTATTGAAGAATTAGCCTACATTCAGTTAGTTTCGTGGCAGTTACCATTTCTGCAAATATTTACTTTGTTGATTAGATTTATTTAAAAGCATATCTATGGGTATTACACTCCGACCAGCATAATTTTTTACTTGGAATATACATAACGATTAACCGACATATAAATCACTTCAAAGTCTAATTTTTTATGAAAACCATTGTCACGTTTGACTTTGACACCCGGTAGTGTGACAGTATCAAATATGATCGCCGTAGCAATGAGGTATAAAAGATGGTGGGTTGATGGCTATTTTTAGTTTATCATTAATCGCACAGATACACAAGTTAACAGTATTATTCAAGATACTTCATTACGTCAAAAGTGACAGCAAATAACGGTCTAGTACCATTTGAAATACGATATATCGGCGAGTGACACAATTCTCAACGCCAGAACTGTCGACAGGGTGGTATTTAA